TGTGGTCCGTGGATATCGGCAACCTGCCACATGCGTGCACTTCACGCCCATCTATAACACGTGAATAAGTGGTGACACATCCGCACACGTGGGACGCAGGGGGAGGAATAGTGATGACTTGAAAGGGCTAATGTCTGTCTGTACCATGCCATATGTGATAGGTTTTGTCTGCTGGGCATTTCTGTATTTGCTGAGGCCATACACGACACGAACGGCTGCAGTAAAATGTTTTTCAGCCCCTACATTGCTATCTGTCTGACAGGACTCAGCTAATTTGGGCCCTCTTCATGCCAACTGCTGTACATAGGCATACAATGAGTCTCTGCCCCAAGGAGCTTACAGACAACGTGGACCAGGCAGACAACGTTCCTGTGGTGCAATGGGAATGCATAAGGTCCCCACACAGATTAAATGACTTGCCCAAAGAGGTGCTTTCATATTCATAATCTGTGGTGTCTCAAACTCACCATAGTAGACATGCTCCTTAAGACGGGGTCAACCCTCTGCAAGCTCTTCTGTACCAGGGTTTGTTTCCTGCCTCCCAAACATAGTGTTTATCTCTGCTCGACTGCCCTGAAAATGCAGCCCCTCAGAGCTGGTTTTTTGGAGGAAAGGGTGGATGTGAGAGAGCGTGATGCTGGGTCTGCTCTCACTGATGGTTTTCCACGTGGTCTGGGCACTGATTGGAGCTCAGCATCTCCAGGGACCAGCTTGTGCTGGAAGTGAAAGTTTGCTCGTGTGGCAAGGGATGTTTAGGTTAGATGTTAGGAGGAACTTTTTCACCAAGACGGTAGTAAAACACTGGAACAGGTTACCCAGAGAGGCGGTGGACTCTGCATCCTTGGAGGTTTTTAAGGTCCAGCTAGACTGGAACGATGTAGCTGGGGCTGGTCCTGCGTTGAGCAGGGGGTTGGACTAGATGACCTTCCAGCCCTCCGTTGCTGTTATTCTACGATGTGAAAAGCGAGGGATGAGAAAGAGCCACCATATGTGTGCTGGGCCGTTGCCCCAGACCTGCTGCACACATGACCTGCTGCAAACGCCTTCTAGCGAGGACCTTGCGTTGATGGGTGTTTCTCTACGTGGTTGCTTGTGCGGCAGGAGGAAGCCCCCTGCGACTGCGTGCTGGGGGTAGGAAGTGGCGTTCAAGGAGGGAAGGTCCTGGGATAAAGAACCACTCGGGTTGTGAAAGCAGCTTCCACCAGCATTAAAAGCTTCTGGAGTCATTTAGCCTGGGACCCTGAAGCCATGGCCTGTGGGCTTGCTGTCCATGGGGCGGGGGCAGTGTCAGGCCCTGGAGGGGCCTGTTTATGTGGGGGCTGTTTGGGCTGATGCTCTTTTTGACCAAGCATTCCCCTTTGCTGTTTGCATCAGGGCTTGCCTTGGTCTGGGTTCACGGTCTCAGAGCTCGGGGGGGGCATGCATTGATGGGCAGATGAGAAGATGGAGCTCTTGGCTACTTCAGGGAGAGGAAGCAGGCACTGCAATCTGCTGGACCGTGGTCCCCCTGGGATGGGTTAGATGCTGGCTTTGTGGGCAAACTCCCCTGTGAGCTGGGCCCCTATTACAGCTGCAGAGATGGCTCTGCAGTGGGCGGGGGGTCACTGAAGAGGGGCAGGGTGCAGCCCGGTGGGTCCAGCCGACCCGAGCCCAGTAAAAGCAGGGCTGCTGCATGTACATGTTTATTACTGCTGTTTGTGCCTGGGGCCCACCCAGGGCTGGCGTGCTGGGGAGGGAGCGGGGGGACATGGCAGGCCTGAAATCCCAGCCTGCTGTGGTTTCTCAAGCTGTTGACTTGTGGAACCAATTTGAGGGCCAGCAGGGCTGCCTGTCACTTCCTCTCCCCTCCCTTCCTCCATCGGGGTCCCCAGGCTCCGTGGACCTTGCAGGCGGCTGCTCATTAAGACAGGATGCAGTCCCGCCTCTCTCTGCAGCTAGGCACTCCCTCGCTGCCCCTAGAAGGCAAAGAGGATGTGGGGCTTTGCAGGAGGGCTGCTAATTGCCAGGGTGCTGGGACCAAATGGCGGGTGCTGCTGGGGAGACCAAGACCCGTGGTGCCACTTGAGAAGTCTCTCCTGCTTGCAGCTCCTTGGTGTCTAGTGCTTAATGCTTGCATGGGGAGCTCTGGCAAGGTCTTGCTGTGCTGTAGAGACCCCCTCCATCCCTGGCAGAGGGGTTCAATGTCATATGTCACTCCAGCTGGCTGCTTGTGCATGGCTGTGCCTGCCTGCCCCCGTGCCCAGCAAGCCACTCCACAGGACAGATGTGTCTGGCTAGCCCTGGGCTTTGAATTCCTCATTCCTAATTTCTTCCTGTTGATTCCTAGCTTCCCAGGACCTGGTTCCTGCTTGTTCATTTCCATGCGGTTTGACCTTCCAGGTTGCTCCTAAAACATTCCCTTGTGTTGGCATGCATGCTCCCCATCTCCTCTCTTCATTGTCTTGTATTTTTTTAAGGAGCTTTTCCAGCAGGAGAGCTAGTGGGGAGAAAGGACAAGCCCCTGCCTAGTGAACCAGGCTGGCAAACCTGGAGCTGGCTGCAGGCACACTGAGCTTGGGTAGGGGAAGGAAAAGAGTTGGTGCCATGGTCCCCGCCTCCGGCGCACACACAGCAGCCATTCAGTCTGGCTGGAGGAGCAGCATTTATATAAACAGCGCTGGCTTCAAACATCAATAAGCCCTTTTTCCCCATCCCTCTCATCAGCAATGGAGCCTTTCCAGGGTGCCTTCTCAGGCTGCCATGAGGCATTTTTCCTTTGGCTTTTAAAGCACGTGTCCCCATGTCTTCTGTCCCCGTGGGGGAGCCCAGAGTAGCTCATGGCTGGGGGTGTTGCAAAAGGATGGGAAATGGGTTCGAAGGCATGGAGGGCAAGCCCGGATGGGAAAGAAAGAAGCACCTGAAAAATAACCTTGTCGTGCCCTGTTCCATCCACGCTCGCTGCCGTTGGGGTGGGTGCAGGTTTGAACAAGGGAGGGCAAGGGAGGGGGCTGTAGCTGTCACGAAGAGCGTGGAAGTCATGGTTTTAGCCCACTGGGGCTGTGCCAGGTGCCATCTCCCCTCCCCCTGGCCAGAAGCCTTTCTCAGAAACCTGACCTCACAGTCTCCAGCTCTGCCCTGGAGCAGTGGAGCCCGCAGCGCCTTTCCTAAACAGCTAATTGTCCCGGCTTCCTCCACTCCTCTGGAAATGACCTCCTTTTCTGCAAACAAGACAGCAGTTCCTGCTCGGTGGCTTGGGCAGGGGAGGGAGGGGGCAGAGTGGGACTCGGGGCAGGCTCGGCCGCGTCTGACGCACGGGTTTGGCCCGGTGGAAGAGGTCTGACACAGCGCTGCCTTGGTGCAGCAGGGTGTGCGGTGTTTTGCCCTTCCAGGCGCCCTTGGCCAACCTGCCTGCTGCCCTGTATTTCTGCCGGAGCGGGAGGGCAAAGAAACGTGCCCCGTGTCTGGAGGGGAAGGGGCTTTGCTCCCGGGGAGTTTGTGCCGCAGGCTCAGACCAGCCTGTGACACAGTGCTGTCACCTGCGTGGGCTAGGTAAGGCAGAGCCCAGCCACAGGTCAAGCACCCAAGATACCCGCATAGCAGAATCCACATGAAACGCCAGGTTGTGCGCGGCTGGGCTCTGTCCAGCAAAGCCGGGGGCCCTCCTAGTCTTCAGCCCCCAGGGCAGGCCCATGCGGGATTTTCCTTTCCTCTTGTGCTGCGTCCAGCCCGCTCTGGAGCGCTTGGCTCTGCAGAGGCTCCAAGGGTTTGTAGGGGCCGCCTGACGGGACGGGAAGAGTGGGAGCCCCCCCTTCAGGGGTCTATTGAGAGCCCTTGGCTTGAAAGGGCAAAGGGAGGCTTGCGAGTGGTTTCCAAGGGGAGGGGGACCCTCAGCGCTGGAGAAATTAAAAGCACGGTGGCTGACTGGTGGCCCTCTGCGAAAGGCCAGGTCTGCAAGTGCTAATTGCTATTAAAGAGCTTTAATGAGCTGCTGGATGAATCGGTGGGCGCCTGCTCCCTTCCTCTCATCTCCGTTTCCCTGTCTTCAGGCAGAGCGTGACTGAGGCCCTCCTTGTGGCCCACTAAAACTGTTTACTTTGGGATAAAGAGTCGGAGCCGAGCGGTTTGAAAAGCCCTCAGTTTCGGAGTTGTTGAAATCCTGGCTGGGGGCTACTCGGCGGTGACAAGCCGAGGGGGCAGAGCAGCAGCCATGCCTGGCCTCTGCTGCCGCCCATTGCTCCTGGAGTTAATCCAGGCCCCTGTTGCATTGAGGCGGGCAGTGCCTTCCTCGCTGCCGTGGCATGGCAGGTTCCCTTCTCTGTGCCGGCTGCGGGCACCGTGGGGCAGGGACAGCCTTCTCAGGATGCATCTGCACCAACACAAGCAAGGGCAGTCCCTGCCCAGGGGATGGGTTGGCACAAAGGGCCTGCTGGCAGGCATGTAGAAGCTTGTCGGTGTGCTCCACAGCTAGGTGAAAGCCTCGGAGCCTCGGAAATGGCTCAGAGGCTCACCCCAGTTGCTGCTAATGTGATGCTTGCAGCCCCCCCAAGCCCACCTTGTCTGCTTGCCCCAAGCCCGTCTTGCCCCACTGCATCTCATCCCTCCCATGCTGCTGCACGTGCATACCCCAGCACTCCAGCCCCTGCCTTTAGCCTCTTTCTTCGTGCCATCTCCCCGCGCCCGCCCCGCATCCGTTAAGCCAGTCATGACATTGCAGTGTTTTGGGGGCGGGGGGGCATGGCACCAAGCACAGCAGCAAAGGGGCTTCTGCTGTTATTCTTATTAGCCTGCATTATGCAGGAAACCAGACTAGGAGGTCCCTTAAAACCTACGGCCCTATGAATAATTATTACTATTGCACATAGCATCTCTTTGGTCTCATTCCCCCACATCTGGCTGCGGCTAACGAATCACCCCCCCTGCCCCAGACCACACACCTAGCTCGCGCAGGTCACGTAAGTGTGGGCTGCTTGATTAACTCAGGCTGAATAACCACCATGTCCCCCCTTCTCTTTCCCCTGCAGGCTTTTGAGTAACAACAAGATAACGGTGCTGAAGAATGGCTCTTTCTTCGGACTGCGCGCTCTCGAGAAGCTGTAAGTGCCAATCGGGGCATTGTGAGTGCCGAGCGGCTCCTAGCTCCTAATGAGGGACTTGGGAAATTAGTGACCAAAGTAGAGCAAAAATTAAATGGAAGCTGAGCAAGGAGAGACCTTGGTGGCTGTGGACTGGGGCGAGGGAGGGAGACTGGTGTGGTCCGAGGGGTTTGGGTAATGGAACAAAATGCACATCCGGCACCATTTGCTTTCCATCTCTCCTGGGGGGCGGCTGGCCCTGGGGGTGTCACCCCTTCCCCATGTGGCAATGATGGACAAAGATTTGCCCTCTAGACTTGGGGCAGAGATGCAACATGTGTTAAAGCTCTTCTAGCCCACATGCTAGTGCCTCTTCCTGCTGGATGTTCCTGAGACAATGTTGTTGCTGCACACTGACCAAAGGGGTTTTGATTGCTGTTGCTGTGATCTGGCAGGCATAGCCTGGGCTTTCCACCAGAAAAGGTAATGCCCCTGGATGCACTGTGGGGGCTGGCGCGGTCGCTGTCTCCTAGGCTCGATAGTGGGCACTGGAGATGGCAGGTAGTCAAGCTGCCAGGTAATAGTGAACAAGAGGCTGAGCAGAAGCAGATCATGTAGCTTCTTCCAGCCAGGAGCTAGCGATGCTGCAGCAGAAGGGTATCGAGGTTATAGGAAGGAGTCAGCGACAGAATCAGGGCAGCAGCTCCCATCCTCCCAGCCCCAAGCTTGTTGCCTCGGGGCAGCTGGTCCCTCCAGTAGAGTCCCTATCAGCCATTGCTGACAGCAGGAGTGGCAACTCCTACCCCCCAGGCTGCTGGGACTACCTTGTCCTCAAAGGATGAGGAGCCTCTTGGAACCGTGCTGCGCCACGGCCGCTTGTCCGTGGAGGCCGAGCTGAGCTGGGACTATCTAGGCTTCCCCTTGCTCTTAGCAGTAGATTAAGTTGCACTTAAGTTAAGTGTTTTGTGCTGCTGATCACTAATCCTCTCTGTAAATAGACGGGAAATTTGTTTATTCTGCTCAAAACTCCCCTGCTTTGGGAGCCAAGGGGGACAGCTGGTGACTATAAGCAGGCCAGAGGCATTCACTGGGTTCCTGCATTCTTGTGAAGCACTCAGTCCATGGCAGAGGGGTGCCACGCTGCAGCATGCCCATCTCCTCTCTGCCCCTGAAACCACTGGGCAGTGGTTGGCTGCCCACCTTTCACCTCCACCCTGCCAGTCAGCCCTGCAGCCAGTGGGACCAAAGTGATCACCGCCACTGGGTGGCCTGGGGGATGCCCTCTTGGAGAGGAGCCTTTGGTTTTTTGGGGCCAGGGTTCATATTGCAAATATCCCCAGTGCCGTGGGCATTCTCAGCAGCAAGGCCAAGGAGGTGGAGTCTCCCTCTGCCCTGGGCAGGGATCTCTCCAAGCTCTGTTAAGGGGTAATGGAAGTCACTTGCCGGTGTGACTGTAGGCACCTGCCGTTTGGTACCTGGAAGGGGCCTATTCAGAGAGCAAGTGATCGGCACTGATGGGGAACCAGGCGACTTCAAGGCTTCTCATGTGGGGTGCCCCCAGCCACTGGAGCAGGTGCATGCGTGTGCACATGTGTGTGAGGGCAGGAGCAGGAGCGGAGGCTTGTGCAGCTGGTGCCTGGGCTGATATTGCTGTTGGCAACTCCAGCTCCTGCCACCATCCCTGAGTTCCCCAGCTCCACATTGGTACATGAAGGATGCTCGAGGTGCTTGGGTGCAGCATAGAGCATCTGGCACGGAGCAAAATGTCTCCGTGCCAGGGAGCAAATGGAAAGTACCTCCTGGGAACTTGCCTGGGTCTGTGGTTGGGCCTGGAGTGTCCGTGGGGGGATCACTTTGCAGGGTCCATCATGAAAAGCGACATTGTCCCACGAACAAAGTCAACTTTCTTATCTCTCCGTGAAAGGCATCTCTATGGTGGGAGCCTTTAATAAGGGCAGATTTATGGCCCCCATATGGATTTGATCTGTAGGTATGTAGCAGAGGGGACCAGCACACTGAGGGCGTTTTGTTCCCAGCCGCGGCCGCTCTGAGCGTCTCACGCATTCCAGAGGCAAATCGGGGACTTGGGCTTGATGTATGGAGTGAGACTGAAAGTGCAGCCTGTGTGCCGTGTGCCGGGGGGTGCTGCAGGGGTGGTGAGGTTCTTGCGGGCTCTGAAGAGATCTTTGCTTTTAGAGCCAAACCAGTGGAAGAGGCTGGTGCGTGGCTGCAAATCCCCACTGGAGAGCTGAGACTCAGGGGTTTGCTGACAGCATTCAAGGGCAGTGGCTCCGTCCCCATTAGGAAGTCAGACTAAATAGCACCTCGAGCCGGCTGGTGTGTCATGGGGGGAATATCCCTTGATAATTGCAGACCCTGTTGGGAGTGAAATCCTGGGACACGTGTGCATGTGCCTAGTGCGAAGCTCTGGGACTGCTGCAGCTCGGCTCAGCAAGCATGTTCCAGTGCTTAGAAAAGACAAGGCTTTTGTCCTGCTGCATGTGGCCAAGAGTTTTCTGCTGTCCAGTCCCAGGAAGCTGGTTCACCACCTCAAGGAGAGGTGAACACAGGGATCTTGCAAAAGCCTTTCGGCATCCAAAGCATGTTTCTTGCTTTAAAAACCCACATGCCAGTCTCTGCTGCTCCTCTGCCCCTGCACATCCACGTTGCAATGCCATGCCCTGCTTGCAGCCCACCCTCCTGCACGTCAGCTGCTGAAACAAAGGCTCCGGCAAGGCCTGCTCCCGGGTCTGTTCTCTGCAGGCTAAACACAGCGTTCAGGTAGTGGGGCCTTGTCTTGGGGGTGCCGGGAAGGGAGAGGCCCTGCGGAGGAGGATGAGGGAACTGGTGCTGGGCAAAGGGCATAGCGGAGAGCTCTGCTATGCTGTGTCAGGCCAGAATGACAGGCATTGAGCCCCTGCGCAGCTGGCGGGCAGCACACACAAATGGCTCATTCAGGCCGGGCTGCTGAATCCCCTTTGGAGCCCTCGCCAAGGCGTCCTAATGACTTGCAGGCTGGGAGGGAAGCACGCAGCTCCCTTAAAGCTGCATAGCCTTGATAGGCAGAGAAAGTGCTTGGCCAGGGCAGGGTGCCCTGCACAGATGAGATCCTGTGCAGCACCCGTGGTCCCTGCTGGCCCTGGGGGAGCTGGGAGAGGAGCGGGACTCTCATCACACCCCAGCTTCAGCCAGCATGCAGCCTGGACTGTTGCGGCTCTGGAGTTGAGAAGCACTTGGTTTAACTCTCTGTGATGCAGTGTCCTTCTCGGTCCTGCCTCTCCGTGGCCCTGTAGGCTGCTCTTTGGTGTCACGATCCGAAACGTCTGGCCTGAGCTTTCTAGTCGCCTGAGTCCAAAGCCAACCCCTGGGTAAGGAGGAGCGTGCGCACGCAACCTAGTCCCAGTGATGCCGGGCAAGAGGACAAGCCGGGTCGCAGGGAGGATGTGGCTGGGGTGGAGCCAGGGTGGAGGGTGCTGCTGCCCAGGGAGGCAGGGGGCTAAGAGAGGGAGAGCAGGGACGGGGGCAAGGGCATCTCTGCCAGCAGCAGGAGCCTGCTTGCAGCTGGGATGCGCAGGGGAGGGCAGACGGAAGAGGTGCAGCAGCCAGCAGGGTTTCTCCGTGGTTTCGTGGAGGAGCTGCAGTGTGTCGCCCACAGCAGTCTGGCGGTGCCTCCTCAGGGAGTTGGACACAGCGCAGCCTAGATTTCATTAGCTTGAACAAGGACGTGTTTAGCAACACGGGCCTTGTCTCCTGCGTGGCATGCCCCTGGCTGAGCCCACTGCTCTGGGGAGGGCAGGGCTGGAGTGCCTAATGCCAAAGGCAGGGGGATGCAGGCATGAAGACATCTCACAAGTATTGCCTTTTCTTGCAGAAGCATGGCAAAGTGGGCCTGGCTGTGGCCTGAGCAGGGGCTTGCTCCCAGGAAACCATTACCACTGGTTTGGGTGTGTGCACTTTGGTCAGGTGTCCTGGTCCTAGGAAACGGCTGGGCCCCCTGAACCGAGATCCCAAATTGGCGGCACAAGAGGAACAAGAGGGGCCTCTTGTAGGAGCCCTGATCTCTTCACAGCAGCCTCCAGCCTGGTTCCAGTCCAGCGCTGAGCTCTGGCGCTCTCGGTCTCTGCTCCCCTCTTCTTTCAGCCAGGTCTGGAAACTGCACTGTCTAATTGGGTTGGACCCCTGCATGCTGAAAATCTCTTTAAAGTCTCATTCTTCTCATCACCCCGAGCAGACGGGGCATCCCAGCTTGGTGCATGAAGCAGCAATAACCTCCCAGTCACCTCGAGAGTGCTCCAATTATGCTCAGAGCTCAGAGGCATCAGTCAGGGCTCAGGGGGAGCCCCCTCATTAGCGTCCTGCCCCTCCTCCTCCCCCATCACTGCTCACTCCAGCAAGCAGCCTGGACTGGCCTAGCCTGGCCTGCACGGGGGAAGTTAATTGTACTTGACAAGAGCCGCAATTGTTTTCATCAGCTTGATGCAGAGCTGCAGAGATAAAGCATTTCACCTGCATCTTCCCTGAGCAGGCAGAGGGCTGGGGCTGGAGGTGGCCTGTGCAGCTATGCACCCTTTGAAGTACAAGGGGATGGGGCTGAGATACTGTCAGGCCTGGGCATCCCTGCCAGAGCAGGACGGCGCTGCGTTGCAGCTCCCTCCCAGCTGTTTGCCGTGGAGGGAGAAGTGTTGGGGGGCATGAGATGGCACGGGGGAAGTTGCTCCCTGTTCCCCAAGGTTTGTTTGCTGGAGAAACCACAGGCAGCACCGTGCTAGCATCGACCCCTGCACTGCTACAGAAACTGGGAGCTCTGGGAGATGGTAACTATGGTGCCCAGTCTACCTGCTTTTGCTCGCAAGTGGTAACAGAGAGGGACCCTGCTGTCACCCAGTAGCATTGGGATCCCTGGTGCATGTCCTGCTGGTCTCTGTCCAGTGAGGAGGCTGCAGGCAAGCAGTGGGTTAGGGGGCCTGCCCTCTGCAGCAACGACTCCTCTGGCACTGCAGCCCAGCATCCCTTATGATCTG